GTCTCAAATACTAAATGTGAATTCTACTAAAGAATACATATATTTTAAAAGATGTTTTTATGGTTTTTTTAGTGAGAAAGGAAGGGAGAGAGAGAGAAACATCAATGTCAGAACGAAACATCGACTGGCTGCCTCCTGCATGCTCCCCACCGGGGATCGAGCCCGCACCCCGGACATGTGCCCTGACTGGGAATGGAACTGGCAACCTTTCAGTGCATGGGATAATGCCCAACCAACTGAGCCGCACCGGCCAGGACTGGAGAATATTTCAAGAAAAAAATTGGCCCATCCAGCGTGGCTCAGTGGTTGAGCGTCAACCTATGAACCAGGAGGTCACAGTTCGATTCCCGGTCGGGGTACATACGCGGGTTGCGGGCTTAATCCCAGTGCGATGATTCTTTCTCATCACTGATGTCTCCTCTCTTTCTTCCTCTCTCTCCTTTCCTTTTTGAAATAAATAAAAATATATTTAAAAAATTGTGACTGTTTTCATTTGAAGATAGCAACATTTAGTCTGGGTGTGCTGTTGAAATATTTTCCAGGTTAAATTCAGTGTATAGCAGTATTGTTTTTAGTTATGTTTTTGGTGGAGTAATCGTGTTGTGTGATACTAATTAGACTACATCAGCTAAGACCCTGAGCAGATAAGGGAAAGGCCAGTAACTAATTATGCCTCTGCATCTCGGCATTAAAATAGTAAAATAGCCCTAGCTGGTTGGGCTCAGTGAATAGAGCCTGAGCCTGTGGACTGAAGGGTCCCGGGTTCGATTCCGGTCAGGGCACAGGCCCGGGTTGCGGGCTCGATCCCGGTGTGGGGCGTGCAGGAGGCAGCCGATCCATGATTCTCTCTCATCACTGATGTTTCTCTCTCCCTCTCCGTGCCTCTCTGAAATCAATAAAAAAATATTTTTTTAAGAAAGTAAAATAGTTTGGTAAGTTTTCCATATACAGTAACTTTGAATGTAGATAGTGAAAAGCCTTCATTATATTTATTTTTGCTTCTTTATCATGCCTAAACTTTTCAATGTCTGTGTTTTTCATGGCTTGTGTTGTCTTGTAGCACCTAACCGATAGCTACTGTTAACCTTGCAACAAGACAACAATGTGCTGTCAAGTGGGATTCAGCTTTAACTGTTGCTCTGCTCTTTTTGGCTTACTTCCCCCAGAGCTCTTCCTCCAGTGAGCTGCAAGCGTGACATTTGCTATGTTTTCAGCACCTGCCAACTTGGAAACCGGGGTTTGTGCTCAGGACGTGGGCTTACAACCCCACTTTGTGGCACACAATGCGGCCCAGCTGGCATCTCCCTGCCTCAATGGCGCTAGACGTTTGTCACAAAGCCGCGCAGATTCACACGCGCTGATTCAGTAGCGGGCCCCTCAAGCTGCTCTCGACTCCCATTCTGTGTCAGAGGAGTTAGATTGGGATCATTAACGCTGTGGATTTTCGTTAAATTCAGTGAAAATAAATTTGTTTTATTTGGTTCTTGAATCAAAATAACTTTGTCTTCAAGAACTGCAGTACCTTTTATGAAATGTGTGTGTATAGATTTGGGATATATGTATGTACACACACAGGCACACGCAGATGCACACACACGCACATGAGGTTGCAGCCAGGGCTGTGCCTCCTTTTCATTAGCGGGAAGGTCTCGGCACAGGATAACAGCAGAGAGGAGAGCACACGGCTCCGCGTGTCAGGCTGAGGTCGGCAGGCGGGGAGTTGTACCTGGAGCATGGATGTGGGAACAATTACAGAACTTTTCGTTTTATTTTTTGTTACTCCTCACCCGAGGATATTTTTCCATTGATTTTTAGAGAGAGGGAAAGACGGAGAGAAGCATCGATGTGAGAAACACATCATTTGGTTGCCTCCTGCACACGCCGACCTGGGCCTGGGCTGGGGAGAAGCCAACAACCGAGGTACGTGCCCTTGACCAGAATTGAACCCGGGACCCTTTGGTCCGCAGGCTGATGCGCTACCCACTGTGCCAAACCCGCCAGGGCAGAACTTATTTTTTTGAATGAGAGCCACATGAGAAAATTGCCACCATAGTAAGTACAGGTTTTTGATTTCCATCTATAATCAGAATTTTCCACGTTTTCCAAAGAAGCCTCTTTTGCTCACTGGTTCCAGTAGCCAGTCTCTTTGGAGGTGCTTCAGGTGAATTGGGGATGTCTGCCTCCTCATGATCTGTTCTAAGAAATGTTCAGCTTCTGCTTCTAAAAAGATCTTTTCAGATGCAGAAAGGACAGTGTGAAATGTGAATGACTGACCTTTAATACAAGGGTTGTGACAAAGGCGCGGTGGCTCTGGAGGCTGAATAAAGGAGTTAACACACATCTGGCGGCTGCTGCGGGCTCAGCGCTCAGCGCAACATGTTTGATGTCTGTGTCACTGTTAGTCTAAAAAGAATACGTTGTTCTCAGGCAAACTAGTGCATATTTTTAAGTGGGGAGCTCTTTGAAAACTGGGTGCAGATAGATTTTATGGGAAAAACTGAACGTTGACTGGTCCTTACCCAAACTTCAAAGCTTAGTTTGAATATCACATTTGTCTTATTTTAAAGGCACAAAAACAAAACACCCACCAACTCCCTAGGACACTCCTTTGTGCATATCACAACCCAACCTTTACCCTCCTCTGCACAAAAGTGCTTAGGTGAATACTTTTATTAGCTTGTTGATACAAGTTATAGTTGATCACACCCTTTCTTAATAAAATACACCCTGTTTGTCTCTTGTTGCTTAAGAGCTTGAAACTTGGGGTGGGGGAGCTCTTCATAGGGAATGACACTAAACCCCGGGCGGTGAGTGGGCGGGGAGCCCACCATGCACACAGCCTCCCGCCTGGGCAGCTCTGCTGGGGCCAGGAGAGCCAGGACGGTGGTTCCATCCCTGGGTTTCATCTGGGTCTCGGAGTGAGACTGCCTGTAACCTCCACATTTTCTCTCTCCCAGGATATTCCGTGGTTTAACCCAATCAGTGGGGATCAATTATAATGGAAACGCTACAGGGGATCATTTTTGGTTACTACTTATGGATTTATTCCTAAATTGGCCTATGAATTTGTGTTGAGGTGTCTGTTTGTGCTATAAATCTGGTTCTGGCCTTCTAGGATTGAACAAAGGTAGATAGTGCACCCCCTTCCCCCAGCTGCCGCTTACATGGTCTTAAGTCCAGAGTTCCACTGAGTTTATATTTATTCTTCTGAATTGAGCAAAACTCGAATATACAACCTGTTGGGTGGGGTTTTTATAATTAAGAACTGTGTAATATAGCTCTAAAAAGTGGGGGTGTTTTAATATTTATAGGATTTGTTAATAGTGTGGGTGGAGCCTTATAGTATGGAAGGTTAAGTGACACAGGCCTTGATGTCTGTATTTTTAGCCTTTGGGGATTCAAATTAAGTAAATGAGAAATAGCTGTTCATTGGCTAGTAGCACAGCTCCTTAACCATGTGTTTTAGTTTTGTACATTCTCAATAAAATAAAGTCTCAGAACCAGAAAAGCAGGCTGCTGTAGGTCAGAAAGGGCCCGCCATCACCACAGCCCTTAGAGTTCCTTGCGACTAAAATCACCCTGAAAGCAGCGAGAGTAATGGTCGCAGCGATTGTTTCCAGGCTCGCGACCCCTGCGTTTTGTTTTTTAAGTTGACCTGCTGAACTGGTAATTGCAGGAATAAACTGAATGCTTGCCAGCAGGAGTCACTCTAGGCCTCCTAATAAAAGTAAATTAAACTATATCCTTAAAGCCCTCCACGGCGAGGTGAGGCGGAGGAGGTGGCGTTGGGGAGATGTAGCAGCATTCCCAAATTAACCCGGGCCTTCCTTTGTCCCGCTCCTCAGAATGACCCGCGCTGGCTTTTTAAAGTGTTTGTGGACGAGGACATCAGTATCTTAGGATTCTTCGAGTTAGCTCATGTTGGCTTTCATAGGATTACGTCCCACATCATCTACAAACCCCTCTGCTTTGCTGGCCATGCTCCTCTTGGAGCAGAAATCACTGGAGTGAGCTGTAGTCAGTGTGAAAGGAGATGTTAGCTCATGGTTTTCTGAAAAAGAATGGGCCCAGTGTGATGAGAAACTGAAATATTTCAGCAATAGCCATGAAATATAATCGTTTCCCAAGTGCACACAAGCTCAAAAAGTTAATTGTTCATTTATGTTTGATACTGGGATTGAAACGTTGGATTAAAACCAATTAAATGTTCCTAGAAGCAACAGAAAAAGTTTCCTGATTTATGAATAGAACCATTCAAAGGGCTCAGACACAATCCATGTCAAGTAATGAGGTGTTTTGTTTTTTTGGCAGAGGAGAACACAAAACAGGCATAGGGAGTTCTTTTAAAAAAACCTCTTTTTGGACACAAGGTCAATAAAATAACCTCCACCAACAGGCAGGCGTGCTGGGCAGCTAGGACCTCTTCCCAGGACCGTCCCCTCCCCCAGGTGAGCCGCACAGGGAGCCGCCCGCGTCTCTGTCAGGGCCGCATTCCTGAGCTGAAGTCAACATCCCCGGCTACGGAGCTAAACACGCGCCTCGCCTAGCAACCGAGCCTTCCTCCTCCGGTGGCAGGAGTTTGGGCCGCGGCTTCGGAAGCGCACATTCCTTCATTTCCACCCGCGCCGGGGCCAGGGAGCGAGCGCCTATCTTCCCAAAGTGTGACCACACGCACACGCCCCCCGGCCCCCCGCAGCCCTGCACCGATCGTGTCTTCAAAACCCCAAACCCACAACCCGGAAGCTGGACGTCTCCAGTGCACGGGCTCGGGGGTCAGTCCCGCCTCGTGTCGGGGGCCGGGGAGACCCTGCGGGGGGCCTGGCCCCGGGCCCGGGCCGCCTCGGTGGCCGCTCGGCCCGGGCCCTTTCCCGCGTCTCCGGGGCCCGGCCGGCGCGGGCTCGGTGGCAGGACGGCCTCCTAGCCCCGCTGGCGGCGCGCCGCGACCCCCCCACTTCCCGCCCACCGGGGGCTGCGCGCACTGCACCCCGCCGCACGCCGCCGGCTCCTGCCCGCCACCCGCCGCCGAGCGCCCGGCCCGCAGCGCCCGCACCGCCGGTCCCAGCCACTCGCAGCGGCGATCGGGCGCCCCGCGGAGGCGGCGGCGGCGCAGCCTGGCCGGGCGGGTTGAAGGGACGAGTCGCACGCGGCTCAGGAAGTGACAAGTCGGTTTCCTCCCCGGGAGCCGCTCGGTGTGCTGCGCTTGCTCGGCGCCGGCGGGAGAGCGCGCGCGGCAGCCCGACGACTTGGCGACCTGGCGGGCCCGCGCCCGGAGCGCCCGGCCGCGCACAGTAAGCGACCCCGGGGGGGGGGGGGGTGGTGGGGGTGGCGCCCGGGGGTCGGTCCCGAGCGGTGGTTCCTGCCGAGCGCGCCCCGCTGCCGAGGGGGGGGAGCCTCGGGGCGCAGGCTCGCTTCTTGGTGCTTGTCTCGCTTCGCCTTGTTCCGCGTCGGGCTTGGGAGGTTTCTCAGGGCACCGAGGCGCTCTCTGGGGCTGGCTTGAAAGATTTCAGCACGACACCAGGGGATCCGACCCGCCCCGAGACCCCTCGAAAAACCGGCGTTTCGCAGAGACAGAAAAGAGAACAGGCTAGAGGACGGGGTGGTCCACTCCCTGGCGAGAGTTTCATAAGACCCCAAGATCTCGAGGGGCCCGCCTGACGCCGAAAATCCGAGTTGGGGTGCAAGCGAATCTTCATTTCTCTCGGCAACATACCCCTCCGGCCGTCATCTACATTGGAAAGGAGGAGAGGCAGGCCCAACAACTTGGACATCTCGACGCGTGAAATAATTCCCCCATACAGGAAATCAACTAGGACGCGAGTCCCCCATTCCCCGACTAGATTTTTTCGTGGTTTGATTACAAAATTGGGTGCTTTTCCGGGAAAGGAGAACGCTTAAGAATATGTACACGTTTTCTACTGTGGGAGAAAGCCCCAAATAAGCGCTAATCTCCTCGGAAAAAAACACCCACCCTGTGAGTATGCTCCGCCCTCGCTA